TAATTCTGATGTTGCAGAACTGTAACTCCAATCATATTCTTTAATTTGTCAAATGCTTCATGCTTCAGTGGCTTGGTGAATATATCGGCTAGTTAATCTTTAGACTTGCAATATATTAATTCAATAATTCTTTTCTCGACTTGATCTCTCAGAAAATGGTAACGTATATCAATATGCTTGCTTCTTCCATGTGTGACAGGATTCTTAGCTAGATTTATTGTAGAAACATTATCCACATAAATCTTTATTGGCTCTTGAATCGAAAAATGAATTTGGTTCATCACATTCTTTAACTATATTGCTTGGCATGCACTTGAAGCTGTAGCAACATATTCTGCTTCACAAGTTGAGAGGGCAACAATTGACTGTTTCTTAGAGGACCAAGAACAAGCTGTAGTGCCAAGCATGAAGCAATAACCAAAAGTGTTTTTTCGGTCATCTATATCTCCACCCCAATCCATTGTCAGAATATCCTGTAAGAACACAATTTTTAGATGACGAATATAGTAATCCATGATCATATGTGCCCTTCAAATATCCCATGATTCTTTTTGTTGCTTGCAAATGTGGTTGACGAGGAGACTCCATAAACCTACTAACCAGACTAACACTGTAACAAATGTCTGGCCTAGTGCATGTCAAGTACCTTAAGCTCCCCACAATTTGGTTGAAATAGGTCGAATCAACATATTGCTCATCACCCTCTTTGGACAATTTTGTGCCAAACTTCTATGGGAGTTCTCACAGGATTACAGTCATACATGCAGAATTTTTATAAGAAGTCTGTGACATACCTCTTCTGACAAATAAAAATTTCATCATCTCCTTGAATTACTTCAATGCTAAGGAAATAGGACATGAGGCCAAGATCTGTCATTTCAAACTATTTCATCATTGAGTTCTTAAATTCTTCAATCATTTTGGGATTATTGCCTGAAAATATTAAGTCATCAACACAGACACATAATGGCAATATATCACCAGAATTATTAACCTTTGCATATAACCCATGTTCGGATGGACATTTTTGGAAACCAGTTGCATGAAGAAAAGAATCAATGCGTCTATTCCATGCACGTGGTGCTTGTTTGAAGCCATACAACTCTTTCTTCAATCTATAAACTTTATCTTGGCTTTCTGGCTGCTTGACAAATACTTTTTCTTCAAGAGGACCATTGAGAAAAGTTGAACATCTATTTGATAAATTTTCCATTGCTTTTGTGCAGCTAAAGCAATCAGAAGCCTAACTGTTTCCATTCGAGTAACTGGAGAAAAAATTTCTTGATAATCATACCCAGGCCTTTGTTCAAATCCCTTTGCCACCAACCTTGCTTTAAATCTTTCTACCTCGCCAGTGGACTTCATTTTTATCTTGAAAACCCACTTCACATCAATTGCCTTGTGACCTTCCGGAATATCAGTAAGCTCCCACGTATTATTTCGTTCTTTCAATTGCCATAATCTCCTCATTCATGGCACTCACCCATTTTGGATCTTGAATTGCTTCCTCAAAAGTGACGGGTTCAGCATCCGCTAAAAATGCAAAATGAACCATGTCCCCATCACTATTAATTTCATTATCAAGATTTACCTCATAATCCCGCAAGCGTACAGGTAATTGGCGATTTCTTATTGGCCTTCTAGATTCAGTAGAGATTTGGGGCAAAGAAGTTCTTGCACAAGCTTCTGATTGGGGTACTTCATTTGAAACAAAACTTTCTTCCTCTTCAAGAACATAAATAGCATTGTCGTTATGAATTTTTTCATTCCATTTCCAAGCTTCTTTTTCATCAAAAATTACATCTCTACTAACAATTACCTTCTTTGTCATAGGATTAAATAATTTGTAACCCCCTTGCTTAGCTTGTAACCAACAAACACAGTCTTTTCTGCTCGATCATCCAACTTTGTCCATGTTTCTGCTAGAATGTGAGCATAAGCAATAGAGCCAAACACTTTAAGATGTTGCACATTTGGCTTAAACTCACTCCATGCTTCAGTAGGAGTGATATTTGATACACTCTTTATTGGTGACCTATTCAACAAATATACAGCACATGCTACAACTTCACCCCAAAAAGAATTAGGCATACCTTTGCTTTTAACGTGTATCCTTTGGCTAGCATCTCCAAACTTCGAAAGTTTAGATGTCCAAAACGAAGATGCCACAGCCATGGCTCATCATTCACAACAGCATTGAGACACTTATACTCACCTTTAGAAATGTCAATAGGAAACATGTGATTCTTTGATAAATGAGACTTAACAATAAGTGTACATTTGTTATCAAGAATTGAGAGTTGACTATCGTGAATAGTCATGGTATATCCCTTCTCTGCTAAGTGTACCTTTGTTATCAAGAATTGAGAGTTGATTATCGTGAATAGTCATGGTATATCCCTTCTCTGCTAATTGACCAACACTAAGCATATTAGTTTTCATATCTGGTACATAAAACACATCAGAAATGTACCTATGGTCTCCACCTTTTAGATTGATAAGAATCTGCCCTTTTCCTATCACAGGTACAGTCCTTCCATCACCAAACTTGACACTAGTGCGGAATGATTCATCAATATCAGCAAATAACTCCCTTTTGCCACACATGTAATTTGTACACCCTATATCAAGAAACCATGTGTGGTAACTTGATGTCTCAGTTGTTGCTACGACCATTAAAAGATCGAGCATGACCACTATCCTCATCCTTATTGTTATCCTCTCCTTGTACACAATGAGCTTACAGTGTACCATTTTTATACCAACATTCGCTTGCATAATGGCCACGCTTATGACAACAATAACACTCAATGTTAGACTTGTCATATTTTCCTCTACCGTGTCCACAACCTCGTCTTCTTGAATTTTGTTAATGGTTTGATTTTTCTTGATCATTACCACCACGTGCATCATGATTACTATTATGGCCTCCCAAACTTCTATTGGAGTGATAACCACCACGTCCCCGTCCTCTACCACGAGAACTATCGGACTTTCGACTTGTCTCGACAATGGAGACTTGAGCTTGAAGAACCTACTCAATTGGCTTTTCAATATTGTTTTCATTCATACGTTGCTCATGGGCTCGCAAGGAACTAGATAATTGTTTGACGGTCATTTGGGAAACATCATTGGCTTATTCGGTTGCTGCTACAATATGCTCAAATCTAGAACTCAAAGATCTCAGAATCTTTTCTACCATAGATTGTTCTGTACAAGCCTCTCCATTTCCTTTCATATCATTCGTCAAAGCAAGGACGCGGTTGACATAGGTATCAACTGTTTTAGAAGCCTCCATATGTAAAAGCTCATATTGACGTCTTAAAGTTTGGAGCCGCACTCTTTTAATTTTGTCGTCACCTTTGTATGAAGTTAGCAACACATTCCATGCTTCATTTGATGTGGTCGCTCCTTCAATCTTCTCAAAAGTCTCGTCACTCATCCCTTGATGGATATAATATAGTGCCTTCTTATCCTTCTTCTTCAACTCACGATGGGCAGCCTTTTGTGCCTTAGTAGCGTTGTCAGCCAGAGGAGCTATCCCATTTTCCACGATCTCAAGCAATTCATGGTAATCGAATAATACCTTCATCTGGGCACTCCATCGATTATAATTTTTTCCCATTCAAGACAGGAACTAACAATTGAGTTGTACTATTCATGGCTCTGATGCCAAATGTTGGGTGTGGAAGAAGGAAATAAAATAAATATCTAATGTAGGAGCAGAATTATTATAGCTGAAGAGATGAAAGATAATATCTTCATTAACAGAATACTTGATTACATTGATGTCTTTATATAAGCTAAAGATCAAAGATTATGCACTGAAAGTTAGGATCACATCCCCACTTCTATTAACGTGCATGAAGACTAACATAAAAATAGGAAGACTAATATTATTATTGACTAGCCCAAATAAAACAATACTAATTTAATCTAAATATCATAATTAAATATACTAACACGAAGAAGTATAGCTTTGTCCCGATTGGGCCATAGTGCAGTACATCTTCTCCATCGGCGGCGAGTTAGATTCCGCCGTGCCCGACATCGTCGATATTGGAGACTTGGAACCGTCGACCATGTTCCATATCTTCAGTCTTCTATCGTAGGTTTCGATGTGCCCTTTCCATGCGTTCAGACAGTCGCTGGAGTTGAAGAAATTTCAGTCGATGGTGACTATTTGGTATGGCGACACATCCAGTTCCCACATTCGTACCTCATCGTGTTCATGTTGGGCAGCGACTTCCATTCGTACAGTGGAGGGTTGTACACCTCCGTGGAAGAGGTACCCTCGGCGCTACCCATGGCGGTTTGACCGCCAGCCACGTAGATTTTCCCATCCGCCACCGTGCTGTGAACAAGAGGAAGAAATATAGGTCAAAAAACAGGTTTGCCCTTAGATTTAACTCCCCTTTAACAGTAAAGTTAACGGAAGACTGCGAGTGGTTGTTTTTAAAAACTTGGAGGACGTCTCGTGGTCGTTTAAAAGTCGAATGACCACAGCTGGTATATGGTTAATACTCGGAGGACCATTGAGGGTATTAACTCCTAAAAAAAATCAAGAAATAACTTCCTGAAAGTCTTTTTTTTTTTTTTTTTTCTTTTTTAATTTCCAACCCGACCTTGAGTGTATGTTAATTCTTAAACCCCATTATAGTTGAAAAAGACTTAAATTGGAGATCTACATTTACTCTATTGGATAATTATATAAAGCAAGTTTTTAAATAATAGTAAGTCACATTTTGAGCACGTTTATATGGTGCCAATATTTGTGACGCAGTGGATAGATATCAGTCAACCTAGATAGATAAGAGTGTCCCCATGCGATGTGAAACCTCATCACCAATAAAAATATCTGAAATAAATTACTATTGCAGATTTCTCATAAATATATTTTTTTATGGTTGTAAAAATTCATAATAATACATCCAAGATTCAAGGTCCCTGTCCTGTATTCTGCTTAGTTAACAACATTTTATAGCATTTCAGTTCAGCACAAGAATGCTAGACTCCATTTAATTTATCTATGCTATCAGATCTTAAAATTCTTTGTTTATGGCATCTACAAAGGTGAATGAGAGGGCATGGTGATTCATAGTTTAAGCATTAAACATGTCCTATCTATCCACTTGCAAGATTCCTAAAGATTCTGCTTCAGTGGCAACAGTATCTTGCTTCTTGATTCCTAGAGGACTCCGAAAGAGTCATCTCACGGTCGTTTCCTTGTCTGATCATTCTTTTTCTTCTTCTTCTTCTTCTTCCGTGAATTGCTGTTCAGCTATTTTTGGTGAGGGATTGAAAGAGAGATCCTGGAGAAAAGCTGTAAATTGTCATGGGAATTATTGGCCAGTTTTTTGCAGTGAAGAAGGGGAGAGGTCGAAGGGGAGAGATCCTGTGTGGGTTGCGACCAAGAAATCTTTGGGTAGAAAGAAAGCATTTTGGAGGAAAATTGTGTGTAGATCAAACAAGTTGAGGAGTGTAATCTTGCTGAATGTTATCACAGTTGTATACGGTATGTGATCGATCAAATCTTAAAACGTGACGTAATTAAAAAAATCTATTGAGTTCAATAAAAATTAAAAACATATGATAATGAATGTGGAAATAAATAAATATGTTAGTAGATAATGGTGAGAATATGGTTATAGTAATATATAGCCAATAGATGAATGATATATGATTTTGTTTTTCATTTAAAAAACAGTTTTTAAAAGTTCTCCGGTTTTTTGTTTTCAAAATGGAAAACTGTGCTATCTAGTAAACAAACATGTTTTCTGTTTTCTATTCTCTAGTTTTTCAGCAATGTATGTAAACAAAACTGGAAAAATTGTGTACTAAGCGAACGAGCTAATGTTTTTGTATGTATGTAATTAATGAGAGATGTTGGATGGTGCAGCAAGTAACATTTGTGTTGTGAAAGAGGTGGAGACAATGATGGATCCAGCAGCCTTCTCTGCAATGCGGTTCTTGATTTGTGCAATCCCATTCCTGCCCTTTGTGTTCCAGGCAAGAAATGATGTTGAGACTCGGAATGCAGGGATGGAGCTGGGATTATGGATCAGTTTAGGGTACCTCATAGAGGCATTAGGACTACTCACCTGTGATGCTGGCCGCGCCTCCTTCATCTCACTCTTCACCGTATGTTGTAATCCATTATATATATTCTTCTGCAACATGCACCAAAACATATATACATTTATTCATTACTATATTGCAATCACATTTATATAAACAACAGGTTATTATGGTTCCATTGTTTGAGAGCCTCTTAGGAGCAATAATCCCTGCTAGAACATGGTTTGGAGTGTTGATGTCTGTCGTAGGTATTGCCATGTTGGAATGCAGTGGATCTCCTCCAAATGTAAGTAATAAGGCCTCAATTCCTTTGCTTTTTCTGTCAATGCCTTGAATGATTGATTGGCTTGCTTGCAGCTTGGTGATCTGCTCAACTTTGTTAGTGCCATTTTCTTTGGCATTCACACACTCCGGACTGAACAAATAACGAGAAGCACAAAGAAAGAGAGCATGCTACCACTTCTCGGATATGAGGTTTCGATCTGTCTGCTCTTATTGGCATGCATGCATTCTAGCAAGCTCCCAATAATAGATTCATGGTTTTAAATGGCTGTATCAGTATTATTGCAGGTTTGTGTTATAGCTTTCATGTCTGTTATCTGGTATGTAGTCGGGGGAAATTTCGATGGATTTCAAGAGAGTGATATCAGTGGTGGATGGTCTTGGAGCATGTTTTGTGAGTGGATGGTTGCATTTCCTTGGATACCTACACTGTATACTGGTGTATTTTCCACTGGTTTATGCCTCTGGGGTGAAGTAAGTATATATCATCTTCCAAAAGACCAAAACCCCTCACTCTCACAAGTTCTAACAGATTATTGCTTTCATTTCAACAAACCTAACTAACCAAACCGGTGCAGATTGCAGCAATGCGCGACGTTTCAGCCACAGAAACAGCAGTGATATATGGGTTAGAGCCATTGTGGGGGGCTGCTTTTGCCTGGTTTCTCCTTGGTGAAAGATGGGGCTTAGCTGGATGGATAGGAGCAGCCCTAGTATTAGGGGGAAGCTTGACACTCCAAATTTTGGGATCTTATAGTGAAACAACAAAGGGGAGTAGTCACAAAAAAGCTTCACAACACAAAACCCTACCAAACTCAAACTCACTCTCAGCTTCTCCTGTGGTCATCTCTTCAGACCACAACTTGGTTGACAGGTTGAACAAATAGTAAACCTATTATATATATGTGTACATATCTGCTAAAAGTCGGCACGGAACATTTATATTTTATATGTAATAAGTCGGCATATATGCATACTCGAAAATTAAAGCACTCGAAAATTAAAGCCTCATATATTCTGCACTCAGTGTATGTTTCAATGATGAACAGAATTATTCTTGAAGCAATATAGTACACAAGAAATTATGATATAGTAATAGCCAACATTCTTTTTAACATGCCAAACATAAATAGTCACTCAAATTATTGCAACCGTAGTTCAAGCAAAAACTAATACTGCTCTCCGAGAATGATCACTTCTTCTTGGCAATGAACAATCCCCACCTCTGCTCTCCAGATGAAGTTCGGGTGAGCTTCAACTTCCAGCCTCCAACTATGTCATTGTAGTCCTCCTGAAAACCATTTCATTTCATGTGAAAAATTATATATAGATATAGATATGCCATTAGTTTCATGGAGGAATGGAATGGTTCTTAATAGATATATAGATGGGTCGACGTACTTCCGAGAAGTCTTGGATAAATGCTTCTTTTTCCTTTTCCACAGCATCTAACTCCTTCTTGAGCACTTTCATGAACTGCAACAACAAAAATGCACTACATTATTATAGACTTACACAGTAGAGTGGGGTATAGAGTTAGTTAGTTACACGTATAGTCTCGGGCAGGAAAGACCCCTATATTGAGGAGAGTACCTGATCGGTTCGGTCCTCTGCAATCACATCTTCAAAACCAGCATCTCTGAGCATCTATATATATTCCAGAGAGACAAACAAAATTGAATCAATATATATGGAGAGCAAAAAGATACGTAAGAAATGAACAAACCAATTTTGCTTGCTTTTGACAGACAGATATGAGATACCTACCTGGCCATATTCTTCTGTATCATGTAAGTCATAACCCCTTTGCTTAATATACGCTGCAAATTCTTCTGAGGGAGGTCCAGACCTTTTGCAGTAATCAGTAATGAGGACTTTGCCCCCTGGCTTCAACCATTTGTAGAATGACCTGAAAAGTGCAGGTTTGTCCTGAAAAAACAAACATAAAAAGGCAAAGAGAAATTAAACCAAGTTGGATGGATGGAGCAAAGACAACTATTATTATTATTATTATTATTACTTGAATATGAAGAATGGTGTCACGGCTGTAAATGACATCAAAGGTGGCATCAGGATACGTTTTCTTAGTGCAATCAGCAACCTCAAACTCAACAGCGCACTTAAGGCCAATAGCACGCTCGAGGGCAATAGTGATCATGTTGGTGGACAGGTCAATGCCGATTACATGGACATCGTAGTTCTCAGCCATGTAAAAGTCACCTCCACCAATGCCACACCCAACATCTAGCACTTTTTGCCCAGGCTGGAGATCCAATTTCGCAACAAATTCTTTTGTTGTCTCTGTTCAGAGCAGCAACGTAACCAAATCAGTACGCTTCCTACAATTCACAACTTAAAAGGAAATAAATATATGAGCGAGCGAGCATACCAAGCCCTCCTGTGCTCACATAGCCTGGTCCAAAAACTCGTTCATATCGCAATATACCACTGCATTTATATTGGACAGTATCCAAGAAGCGCTGGAATCCCCTGTCACCTTCTGAACTAACCTTCTTCCATACCCAGCAAATCTGCAGGGCAAATAATATGTATGCATCTTTTTTTTTCCCCAATAACAAATGTAACATTGAGTGAATAATGAAAAACAAAAGTACGTACTATCTTACCTGATTTTGATTCTTTTTGTTTCTGACATAAGCTCCAATGCACTTGCATGCAATAAGAGAGAGTTCAAAGGATTTTCCCTTACCAACATTCAAATGGCATTCTTTGAAGACCTGCAATCATCAATCAGCCTCAACTTAAAATTTCTCAAGTACACTAACATGAAAAAAGTTAGCCTTAGGATTGGTTTAAGATTGACAATAATCGAGCTTTTAGTTACGCAAATTGCAAAAGAGATGGAGACAAAGTTGAGACCTTTGTATAAAATCCAGGAGCTCGATAGTGAGTTGGATTGTTCTTTCTCTTGTGATCTCCAGATTGATGGAAGCATGATTCTCTGAAGAATATGTACCCACCAACTTTCAGCCATTTCACCATCCTCTCTGCTAGGCTCTCAACCTGCAGCCAATGGATAGGACTTTTTTAAGGAAATAATAATAATATTCAAAAAAGGCAAACAAACAAACAAATTTAAGGAAAGTTCAAAGAGAAAAAGAATTAATTCACCTCTTGGTCAGAAAGGTACATGAGCAGCCAGTTGGAAAATATTAAGTCTATAGACTCATCTGAGAAATTCAAGTCTTTAGAGGTTACATCAGCACACATAAACTTGATATTTCCAAGGTGCCCATTGATGGTTTCATTCTGCAATTGAGTTTTAAGTGTTTAGAGGTATTATTATATCTAGCAAAGTTTAGATGAAACCCACATTAATTAAGCAAATATTAATCCTCAACAAGCAAAGTTATTATTGAACTAACAGTCCTATCAAACAACAAAAGAAAACAACAGGAAACACTGGGAAAAGGTAGGTTAAGTGCCATATACCTTCTTAATTACACTTTCAATGAAGTCCATAGCTATAACTTGGCCTGCTTTTTGAGCTAATTCACCGGTGAAACGCCCAATACCAGCACCTAGTTCCAACACAGATTTCCCTTCATATGCAGGAAGCATGGAAAGCACCTGGATGGGTGGGAAACAAAATTAAGATTTACTAAAAACCAATACAAACACACTTCAATTAAAATATATATATAACACATGAAGTGAACATTAATAAGTCTAATTGGAAGGGAAAATAAAATTATTAAAAAAAATATTGGGTCCTAAAATATATTGTTGAGCTTCCATTTAAATTTAAGGCTTGAGATCTAAACCCAATAAATAAATAAATCCACTATCTTTATTAGAGTATCTTCTTGAAATTTTATACTTGGGAACTTCACATTTTAAATTATCTTGTATATATTTTTATAAAATCTAATTTATTTTAAAAATTTATACATAATAATAAGTTGAAATTTTAAAGAAGATTGAAATCTAAAATTCAATTCCAACAAAAAAGGTATCGAAACTGTTCTGAGGAAGAAACTTTTATGCAGCAGAAAATTACTTAGGAATTTTATAAAAAAAATAAAAAATGGAAGAAATTTCCTTCGAATATTTAATATTAATTTTTTTTAAAATAAAACTAGTTGAAAAATCCTTTAATAAAAGTAAAATTTATAATTAATTTTTAGATCCCGTAGGATCTGTGTGGTAGTAGCCTTATAATTTTTCTTTTTTTATTTTTTTTTATTTTTAAAGGTATGATCAATTTCTCTACAATTAAGTGGTTACCTTAAGGATAGTGGTCCATAGAAATATTTGGGTCAATTTGTGGTTATAAAGTCATCTCATCCATAATTATAGGATTATTTCTATATTGTGTTATCTATATATATGGAAGTTTATTATTATTATTATTATTATTATTATTATTATTATTATTATTATTATTCAGATTGAGATCTCTGCCAATTTAAACATTTTATTTTCTTTAATTAAATAGTCAACTAATTACAATATATTAAGTTAAGTAGAGTTTTACCACCTGAACAAATGTAATATTACTCCACCATAAGCACACAAAATATTGATGCTATTAAGCTTAAGTCTGCATGGGCTTAGCTAACTAATTCAGTAGATATTATTTGGGAGAAAAAATTAAAGTTCGACATTGGCAATATGAGAATTATATACAAAGCGGATAAATCCTTGTTTGTTGTGTGACAGATCCCTCTTTGTTGTGCACCCTCCCTGCTTTGTAGAGGGCCCTTGGGGTAGGGGATTGAGAAGGTATTAATGTGTTTCCTTTTTGATTCATTTCTTTAAAAATAAACATTTTATTTGTTATAATAATAATAATAATAATAATGAGTGGTGGTGGTGTTGGTGACAGTGGTGGTGGATCCTGTTGATAGTGAATGTAGTGGTGGTAATGGTAATAATAACCCAGCAATTAAGTTGAAAAGAAATAAGAGAAAATAAATACAGAAAAATTTGTATTAAAAAAATCCGAAAATGAATCATTAAGAACAGAGTGAGGAAATGGAGGAAGAAGAAGAACAAAAAAGTACCTCTGGTCTCTCTTCTTTGTCGAGATCAGCAGCCTTAGAATCAAGCATCATGGCCTCCACGGTCAGCTCCGAGGAGTGCTCAATCCAGTAACTCTTCTGAACCTCACGCTCTTCTCCTGTAAACAACATAATTCACATTCAATCACAACAGATATATAAAAACAGAAAGTGATCAGTCTCATCCACTATACGTTCATCGAACCACAGACCTTGAAAAGCTGCCATGGCTGATTGAACGATCGCTGTAAAGAGGTAAAAAAAATCCAAAAAACCGGGAAAAGCAATGCGGACTGAAAAGCCTCAACCGCCCTCAACGGCGAGGCGAGATCTAGAGAAGGAGCGGGATCTACTGTTGCAAGCTTTGCCTCTCTGCTGCATCCAAAAACAGAAAAGACTTCTGCTATACTTATAGAGCAAAGAACAAGAAAACTTTGGACTTCACTGTTAGTATTGAAAGGGATGGGTGTGGTGGCCGAAGCCCGGAACCGTAAGAGTGTTACTGTGTTAGTAGATGAATGCCGAGTGGCGGTAGTAGAAGAGATGAAGGGAACTGTGAGAGTGAGAGGGCCAGGTGGAGAAGGATATTATATAACGAATGGGACACGTGATTAGGATCTGCAAATATTGTAACAAACTTCACCATTACCTGCTAAAACCCATTCCTTCATGATTGCAATCGTTCAAGTGGCCGTAAATGGTGCCAGGAAAGTGGAACGTTAAGTTTATGTTTATTTTTTATTATTTATATGTATATATTTTTTAAAAAGTTTTAAAATTGACCCCATCAAAATATATAAAATTAAGGTGATATTGAGAAATTAAAAACATAACTTACTTTTCAAATAACATTTTTCTCTATTCAACAAATTTCAAATGTGACTTAACAATTATGTATTGACATTATTATTTACACCTATATATATAACATTTATCTTATTAGTGAACGTATAAGATTCGTTTGATCAATATTTGAGATTTGATTTTATAAAATATTTTAAGATATTCATAATGACTTGTTGAATAATTTGGAGGGAGGTGCCTACAATCCAGCGAGAGAATTAATTACTGTATTCGACAGTGGAAACCATGGCGGTGCTAAAAATTTAAAAAAAAAAAGACTTAGCTTGTTGAATATTCTACAGAAAAAATCTCCTAAGATGTTTTTCCTTGATAAATTAAGATAAAATACACACTTGGCATATGCTTATTGTTTAAATCTTCAAAATTTTAGTTATTCTTGTACTAAAATGACTGGATTTTTTACATTTTAAATGATCAATGAACGAATCAAACTATCAAAACTAACGAAATTTACTCTAGTTCTATCATTTCTCTCATTCTTCTTTCAAATGTTTTTTTTTTTAATATTTTAGTATTTGTAATCATATTTGAATTCTCAAAGAGATGCAGTCATTTCTCTTGAATTCTCGAAGAGCAAAAACGAATAAGAACCCTGAATCAAACTATCAAAGTCAAAGGAATTCAATTTGGTTCTAAAAGTTTCTATCTTGTTTTTTTTTTTCAAATGTTTTTTTATGTTTTTTTTTATGTCAGAGGGTTCTGTGAAATTGATAGTCGAACTGGGCACCCACCCGCATACTAGAAAGATAGAGATGGAGTTCGGGTGGTAGTTAATCTCTCCTGCTCGCAAAATATGATACTTGGGCAACCCGGTCTAGAGGACCTTGGTGCCTTGATCTCCTTGTTGCACTTATGTATGAAATTCAGAACCCCAAGTGGAGTCGGAGTCGTGTAAGGCGACCAACGGGTGGCCCGCGATTGCTATCTTCAAGCGTGCTGAAAGATCGACTAGACATATATGAGAGTTCACACTATCACAGGCAGACTGTGAAAGAAGAAAGAGTAATAGAGCGACCAGAGCCAGCAGTCGAGTTGGAGGAAGTTGAGATCGACCTTGACCGCCCTGAAAATTGGGTATGAATCGGAGTCCTAAGAGAATACTGTGTCCTCTTTGCCTAGGGACCGGAATACATGCCGGGAGTTAACGGAGCAATAATTACCCATCGACTGGCTGTTGATCCCGCTTACAAGTCAGTCATGCAGAAGAAGAGATACCTCTCCACAGATTGAAGGGAATTTGTGAAAAAGGAGGTCGAGTTGGTGATGGCGGCCGAATGTATCCGCGAAGTGGAATATCCCAAGTGGTTGGCTAATGTGGTGCTGGTGCCCAAACCCCAACATGGCGAATGTGTGTCGACTACACAGACCTGAATATAGCTGTAACACCCCAATTTTCTTAAACTTAATTACAGTTCTAAAACCACATTAAGATAAACTAAGCAGTGGAAAATCAAACTTAATTAACAAACTAGTGGGAATGTCACCGCCACAACCACCTTCCCACGGTGATTGCACAGGCTAAAGGATAAAACTAAACATCAAGTCGAACTAACATCCGGAATTTACTATATTTAAGTCACTTGGGAAAAAACACCCCGGTGTCTATCACCAAACATAAATAACATAAGTCTACAACCATCATCCATAACATCATAAGGTAAAACAAGAGTTTAGACTATTAGATCTACTAAACTAGTATAACGCGAACAACTCTCAAACGCTGGTCCCACCTGAAAGGGGTTTTGCAAATAGATAAATAGAAAACACCCGTTAGTACAAAGCTAAGTATAACCACACTCAACCCTGTAAAATACTACAGTATATACTATGGAACAACATTTGCTCACATTCTCAAATTAAGCAATCTCAATCCTTTATAACATTTCAATAACAATCTCATGCTAACACATAACTTAACAAGCAATTTCATGCTATCAAACAATAAGAAATTATTCTCATGCTTTCAAGTTCTCATCATGTAAACTAGATATACATCAATATGCAACTAAAGCAATCATACTCAATATACAATCTCGGGTAATCATTCTCAATATGCAATCTAGTGCAAACATTCTCATTATGCAATCTCGTACAATTCTATACTCAAATGCAATCTCGTGCAATACGATACTCAAATGCAATCACGCGCAATGCTATACTCAAATGCAATCTCGTGCAATACGATACTCAAATGCAATCTCGTGCAATACTATACTCAAATGCAATAAGATGCTATAGGATAAGATGCTTATACACTCGTTTGTAAACAGAATATTTTTCTGTGGAGGTTTCTTAGAGTCACAATGACTCGCTTTCTTTCTCTTGAGTCTCTTGACTCGATTTCTTTCTTGCTCAAACTTTCTCATACTTCTCGTTTCTCTTCTTGTGCGAGGCAGGTACTCCGCCGCAGCGAAGCCCTAGCGTACGGTGCAATCTCGTGCATCCGCCACATCCATAACTATGGAACCTCTAACTTGTGGGGAGGTAGGTCTTCACAAATCGTGAATGGACCTAACCGGCTCGGCAATCTAGCCGGCCACATACTCAACTCGCCCATAGAACCACTCTTTTGGTACTTTATCTTTCTTTCTCGCTTGTTTTCTCTGTGGAATCAGGTATCGTACTTTTAGTGTGCACACCCCCTAACCAGGATTCCAAGCCTGGCGGGAAGTCTCCAACCTCGTAATGTGGGAATACACCACATTACATGATAAATCTGTCGGATCGCAATGTCCGTTACTTTCTCTTTTACTCCGAAAGGACATAATCCCAACGTGTCCTCCAAAACCTCACTGATATAGATAATATATATATATATATATATATATAGCACCAAACTTATGCATGTCACATCTCAACAACTTCTCAATGCAACATGATAAAGACTTTCCACATGCTCATGAGTTTTGGAAAACAATACTTAGACTCACGTTGGCCACTTATGCACTTTTAAAACATGATATGCTTGGAATGCAATTTACTGTACAACATACTTCAATTCTATATATCACAGTGAACTCTCAAGAACACAAAATCATGCTTGGTTTGCAACATATCATACTCTGTATACTTTCACAATTATAAGGAACTATAATTTCCATTGAATATAAAACATATTCTAGTCATGTTTCTCTAACAATTCTCATTCACAAAATGTTCATGTTTCTCTATTCAATGCACAAATAGTATCAGGATGATAAAACAAAGAAAATCACATGGGCAGTGAACTCAAATAACATTATTGTGAAGCATTTCATCACAAATTCTACCATAACATGCTCATTTCTAATCCAAATTCAACGAAATCAAAGCCAAAAAGTGCGTCAAGACGACCCCGAGGTACCGAGCCACAATGGCCCGTGACACCTTGTCCGAAATGACACAGAGCTGAGCCGCAAGGGCCCGGCCACTGCACAGGGAGCAACACACGGACAATGGGGTGGGGCTTAGCTAGGCCCGCCCCCTCAAACTGCTAGATTGCCGGCTCTAGGCAACGACCCTCTCCTAGGGCCGTTCCCTAGGCCCGGCTGGCCACGGCTCTAGCCAACGGTCCCCTTGTTGGGCCGTTGGCTGGGGCCAGTGCATTGTCTAGTGCACACTGCTTGTGCACCAGATGGTCTCTTCTCATCTGCAATTCAACCTCAGACAATTCTAACACATCCAAAACATGAACAACACATCATAGATAAGTAATAAATCACTTCATAGCTCAAACACTTCAAAAATCTAGCATTTCTACTCATTTCTACATATGAAACAAGGCTTCACAGAGCCAAAACTTAAAATGGGAGTCCATGGGGTTATACCTTTGTTGTTTCCTCTTCTTTCTCTTGTGTGGTTACCTTTCCTTCCTCAGATGTTACCCTCCTTCACCACATATTTCCTCAAACAAACATAGATACATACTAGACTTAAGACAACCTCAGAGATTGAAGGCAAGAAGATGAAAACCTTAATGAAAAGATGAATGGATGAGTTGAGAGCTTAGAAAAATGCTTACTATGCTGTTTTCTCTTCTTCTACAGAGCACGAAAAAATGAATGGATGAGATGAGAGCTTAGAAAAATGCTTACTATGTTGTTTTCTCTTCTTCTACAGAGCTCAAAGGAATGGAGAGACAAAGAGATGGATCAGATGAAAGCAAGGGAAGTGGTGAATATATGGGTACGAAACCCTAGGAGAAATGACAATGATTAGTTGAGGGTGGGATGGTAATTTGACTTGCTCAATAAAGATCAGACAAAGATTTTTGGTAGAAAGTTCATGGCTCACCTTGCATCATGGACCATAGTCTAAAAGATGATTTTAAATAGTTTGGGGGTCAAAATATATTTTTCCAAAAATACCTTCTAGACAACCACTTAGTTTAGGTTTCTCAGGTTTCTCCCGGTTTCACTCAGATTGACTTTCGGATCAAAAACTAGGTACGCAATGTACCGAGGATTTAGGATTTTAGATTTAAAATAAGTCCCGGTGTTGAATTTATTTAAAAATGGTTCGAAATAATTTATTCAAACACCGATTTCATCGCAAAAATTTTTATAGAGTGAAAATGGCTATTTTGGAATTTCTTAAAAACTGAATTTATAAAATAAAATTTTGGGTTGTCACAATAGCGTGCCCTAAGGACCCATTCCCCCTGCCACGTATTGACTAGATGGTCGACGAGACGACTGGATGTGCCCTCTAAAGCT